GAGGTGGCACCTAATGGTTTGGCCACAGGAGATGGCACCCAATGGCGTCCATGGGAGATGGCATCCAAGGGCATGGCCACAGGAGATGGCACCCAATGATTTGGTCACAGGAGGTGGCACCCAATGGCACAGCAATGGGTGGTGGCACCCAAGGGCATGGCAATAGGAGGTAGCACCCAATGGTTTGGCCACAGGAGATGATGGCACCCAATGGCGTGGCCATGGGAGATGACACCCAAGGGCATGGCCATGGGAGGTGGCACCCAACAGCATGGCCATGGGTGGTGGCACCCAATGGTTTGGTCACAGGAGGTGGCACCCAAGGGCATGGCAATGGGTGGTGGTACCCAATGGCACAGCCATGATATGACACCCAAGGGCATGGCCATGGGAGATGGCACCCAACAGCATGGCCATGGGTGGTGGCACCCAATGGTGTGGCCATGGGAGGTGGCACCCAATGGTTTGGTCACAGGAGGTGGCACCCAAGGGCATGGCCATGGGAGATGGCACCCAACAGCATGGCCATGGGTGGTGGCACCCAACAGCATGGCCATGGGTGGTGGCACCCAATGGTTTGGCCACAGGAGGTGGCACCCAATGGCACGGCCATGGGTGGTGGCACCCAAGGGCATGGCAATAGGAGGTGGCACCTAATGGTTTGGCCACAGGAGATGGCACCCAATGGCGTGGCCATGGGAGATGGCACCCAATGGTCCACAGGAGGTGGCACCCAATGGTGTGGCCACAGGAGATGGCAACCGATGGCACAGACATGATATGGCACCCAAGGGCATGGCAATGGGAGGTGGCACCCAAGGGCAGGGCCATGGGAGATGGCACCCAATGGTTTGGCCACAGGAGATGATGGCACCCAATGGCTTGGCAATGGGAGGTGGCACCCAATGGCACAGCCATGATATGGCACCCAACGGCACAGCAATGGGAGGTGGCACCCAAGGGCATGGCCATGGGAGGTGGCACCCAATGGTTTGGCCACAGGAGGTGGCACCCAAGGGCATGGCCACCAGGGACGGCACCCAACAGCACAGCTCTCACGGCACAGCCCTACGGTGGCACCCAAGGGCCCACCACTGCCACCAGAGGTGCCACCCGCTGTCCCGAGCCAGCCGCCCCCCCCTTACTGGCGAAGACGGCGCGGTGACTCGCGTCGATGATCACCAACTTCTCCACCAGGTCGGGGTGGCCGGCGGCCAGCTCCCAGGCCAAGACGCCGCCCCAGTCGTGCCCCACCAGGACGCACTTGGGGTGCCCGGAGGTGGCACCCGCGTGGCCCTCGGGTGTCCCCAGCACCTCGATGACCTCGCGGACGTCCTCGAGGAGGACCTCGGTCCGGTAGCTCTCCTTGCCCGGTGGCTTCTCGGATGCTCCGCAGCCCCGCAGGTCCAGGGCCACCACCCGGTACCGGGTGCTGAACTCCAGCAGCTGGTGACGCCAGCAGAACCTGGGGGGGGGGGACACACACAGACACCTCCGGTCACCCCCCCACGCCGGGTGTCACCTCCCTACCACCCCCCCCAAGTCCCCGTCACCCACCAGTTTTGGGGGAAGCCGTGCAGCAGCAGCAGCAAGGGGGCCGTGGGGGGGCCCCGGGCGACGTAGTGGAGCCGCAGCCCTGAATTCTGGGGGGAGGAGGTGGGGGGGGTCCATGGGGGAGCCCCCATCCCAAAAGTTGGGCCCCTCTCAGTACCCTTTGGACCCCCCCCCCCCCAGGAACCCCAAATCCCCCAAACACCCCTCCAGGCCCCTTCCCGGGACCCCCAAGACCCTCTCAGCCCCCCCAGAACCCTTCCAAAGCCCCTCCCTGCACCCTCAAGACCCCCCCAGGAACCCCAAACCCCCAAGACCCTCACCAGGGCCCTTCTCGGGACCACCAAGACCCCCTCAGGCCCCCCCGAACCCCTCCAGGGCCCCTCCTGAGACCCCAAAGACCCCTCAGCCCCCCCAGAACCCCCCAAGGCCCCTCCCAGCACCCTCAAGACCCCCCAGGAATCCCAACCCCCCCCCAGAACCCCTCTAAGACCCCTCCCAACCCCTTCAAGACCCCCCCAGGAACCCCGAACCCCCCCCAAACCCCTCCAAGGCCCCTTCCAGCACCCTCAAGACCCCCCAGGAACCCCAACCCCCCCAAGAACCCCTCTAGGGCCCCTCCCAACCCCTTCAAGACCCCCCAGGAACCCCGAACCCCCCCCCAACCCCTCCAAGGACTCTCCCAGCACCCTCAAGACCCCCCCAGGAACCCCAACCCCCCCCCCCAAAACCCCCAAGGCCTCTCCCAGCACCCTCAAGACCCCCCCAGGAATCCCAACCCCCCCCCAGAACCCCTCTAAGACCCCTCCCAACCTCTTCAAGACCCCCCCAGGAACCCCGAACCCCCCCCAAACCCCTCCAAGGCCCCTTCCAGCACCCTCAAGACCCCCCCCAGGAACCTCAAAATCCCCCCAGAACCCCTCCAGGGCCCCTCCCAACCCCTTCAAGACCCCCCCAGGAACCCCAAACCCCCCAAGACCCCACTCCAGAACCCTTCCCGGGACCCCCAAGCCCCCCCCCCAACCTTGAGCCGCAGGTGCCTGTGCTCCCCGTAGGTGCCATCCGCCAGCCCTGGGGGGGGCTCTGCCCGCACCCGCCACCGCAGGGCCCTCCGGGGCCCCCACCGCAGGAGCACCCCAAGACCCCAGAGCCGTAGACGACCCCGGCCGCTGCCACCGCCGCCGCCACCGCCAGCCGGGCCACCAAGCGCTGCAGGGCCAGCAGCGCCCGCGTGGGTGCCAGCAGCGCCGTGCAGAGGGACAGGAGCATGGCAGGGCCCGATGTCACCACCGCTGTCACCTAGGGCAGGGAGTGGCACCTGTGGGGGTGGACCCATAGCGGGGGGGTTTGTCACCTGGGTGGGGTTGTCACATCCGGTCCCCAAGTGGCTTTGGCACCCAGGGTGGCCCCGCAGCCAGGTGTCCCCATGCCCCTGGTGGCCCTTGTCACACCAGGGTGTCCCCACAGCCAGGTGTCCCCATGCCCCTGGTGGCCCTTGTCACACCAGGGTGTCCCCACAGCCAGCCCCAGCCCCGGTGGCCCTTGTCACCCAGGTGTCCCCAGCAGGTGTCCCCATGCCCCTGGTGGCCCTTGTCACACTGGGGTGTCCCCACAGCCAGGTGTCCCCATGCCCCTGGTGGCCCTTGTCACACCGGGGTGTCCCAGCACCAGGGTGTCCCCGTGTCTGGGGGTGGCTTTGTCCCTACGGTGGCCCTGTCCCCAACGTGTCCCATCCCAGGGCGGCCCCGTCCCCAGGATGTCCCTGTCCCAAGGTGGCCTTGTCACCATGGTGTCCCAGCACCAAGGAGTCCCCATGCCGCAGGTGGCCTTGTCACCGGGGTGTCCCCATCCCCAGGGTGGCCCTGTCTCCAGCATGTCCCATCCCAGAGCAGCCTTGTCACAGGTTGTCCCCATGCTTGGGGTGTCCCCAACCCAGGTGGCCCTGTCCCCGGGTGTCCCATCCCAAGTGGCCCTTGTCACAGGGGTGTCCCCACGCCAGAGTGTCCCATCCCAGGGTGGCCTTGTCACTGGGGTGTCCCCGTCCCCAGGTGGCCCTGTCCCCAGGTTGTCCCACCCCGGGGTGTCCCTGTCACCAGGGTGTCCCATCCCAGGGTGGCCTTGTCACCGGGGTGTCCCCATGCCGGGGGGGTTTTGTCACCACCATGTCCCAGCCCTTGTCCCCACATCCCAAGCCGGGCTGTCCCCAGGTGTCCCTCCCCACTTGGTGTCCCCCTCCTGGGGTGTCCCCACCTGGGGTGTCCCCCCCTATGGGTGTCTCCCCCCCCGGGTGTCCCCCACCTTGGTGTCCCCCCCCCCCAGGTGTCCCCACCTGGGGTGTCCCCGGGTGTCCCCCCCCCATGGATGTCTCCCCCCACCTTGGTGTCCCCCCCCCCTTGGTGTCCCCCCCCCCCTGGTGTCCCCCCCCCCTCGGTGTCCCCCTCCTGGGGTGTCCCCACCTGGGGTGTCCCCGGGTGTTCCCCCCCTTGGTGTCCCCCCCCCCTTGGTGTCCCCACCCCGGGGGTGTCCCCACTTGGGGTGTCCCCGGGTGTCCCCTCCTGGGTGTCCCCCCCTTGGTGTCCCCCCCTCGGGGTGTCCCCACCTGGGGTGTCCCTGGGTGTCCCCTCCTTGGTGTCCCCCCCCCCTTGGTGTCCCCACCCCGGGGGTGTCCCCACTTGGGGTGTCCCTGGGTGTCCCCTCCTTGGTGTCCCCCCCCCTCGGTGTCCCCCCCCCTCGGTGTCCCCCCCCTTGGTGTCCCCCCCCCGGGGGTGTCCCCACCTGGGTGTCCCCTCCCGGGCTGTCCCCGCGGTGTCACCTCGCCGGGCTCTCCCCTGCCCCCAGGGCGGCCCCCCGGCCCCGTGCCGTCGCTGTCGCGGGGCTGTCGCGACACCGGGGGGGGGTCGGTGGGGGGGGGGGGTCGGGGAGCCCCGTCCCGACCTTCTCGCGCCACCTCCGCCCGCCCCAGCTCGGCCGCGCCCGACCCCGCCCCCCCCGGCCGCTGATTGGCTCCCGCCGAGCGCGGGGGAGGAAAGGGGCGGGGCTTCGGGGAAGGCAGCCAATAGGAGCGCGGGGGGAAGGGAGGGGGGCGGGGAAAAGGGGGAGGGGCGGGGGCAGAGGTCACGTGGGGGAGGGCGAGGGAGGAGGAAGGGAGGGGGAGGGGAGGGGGAGGGGGACACGGGCGGGGGGGGGACAATGGGACAGGGACAGATGGGCCGGGGGGACAATGGGACACGGGGACAATGGGACAGGGACTTGGGGACATGGGGGGCAATGGGATGGGGGGCAGGGGGACATGGGGACAGGGACATGGGGACAGGGGGACACGGGGACATGGGGGGGCAATGGGATGGGGGATGGGGGCAGGGGGACATGGGGATGGGACAGGGGACATGGGGGCAATGGGACACGGGGGCAGGGGGACACTGGGACATTGGAGATGGGGACAGGGGGATGGGGACAGGGACATGGGGACAGGGGACATGGGGATGGGGGGACACTGGGACATGGGGACAGGGACATGGGGACAGGGGGGCAATGGGAATGGGGGCAGGGGGACATGGGGGGGACAGGGGAGGGGACAGGGGGACAGGGGGACAGGGGGACAAGGGGACATGGGGATGGGACAGGGGACATGGGGGCAATGGGACACGGGGGCAGGGGACACTGGGACATGGGGACAGGGTGACAGGGACATGGGACAGGGACATGGCACATGGGGGGCAATGGGGGGGATGGGGGCAAGGGGAACATGGGATGGGGGGACAGGGGACATGGGGGCAATGGGACAGGGGGACAGGGGGACACTGGGACAAGGGGACATGGGGACAAGGGGACATGGGGATTGGGGACAGGAAAATGGGGACAGGGGGACAGGGACATGGGGACACTGGGACAAGGGGACATGGGGACATGGAGGCAATGGGACAGGGGACCAGGGGCAGGGGACACTGGGAGATGGGGACAGGAGGACACAGCAACACGGGGCTGGGGGCCATGGGGACACGGTGACACCGGGACGTGGGGACATTGGGCCACGGGGACATGGCCGGGGGACACGGAGCCACTGGGATGGGGGACGGGGGGACACGGCCAGGGGACAGGGGGACATGGGGACAATGGGGCAGGGGGACAAGGGGATGGGGACATGGGGACAGCTCCTGCTGCGCCCACGGGAGGGGCCCCGTTGGGCAGGGGTGGGCGCAGGGACCCCGGGTGTGGGCACAGCCCCTGCAGCTTTTTGCCCATTTTCACCCTTTTTTCCCCAGAACGTGTGGGATTCCAGGGGACATGACAGTATGGGGGTGACGCCTGTGGTCGGTGTGTGGGATCGGGGGGCTAAACCCACCTTTGGTCCAAAACTGGGGAAATTCACCCCAAAACCGTGAAAATTCACTGTGAACTGGGGAAATTGACCCCAAACCTGGGGAAATTCACCCCAAACCTGGAGAAACGAGGAAATTGACCACAAAACCAGGGAATTCACCGCAAAACCGGGGAAATTGACCCCAAACCAGGGAAATTGACCCCAAAACCAGTGAAATTCACCCCAACAACAGGGAAATTCACAACAAAACAAGGGAATTTCACCCAAAAACGGGGAAATTCATCCCAAACCAGGGAAATTCACCCCATATATGGGGAAATTCATCCCAAACTAGGGAAATCCATCCAAAAAACTGGGATATTTCAACCCCAAAATGGCTAAATTCATCCCGAAACTAGTAAAATTCACAACAAACCTGGTAAATTTATTCAAAAAAGGGCAAACTTACACCTAAACTGGGGAAATTCATCCCTAAAGTAGGGATTTTCACTCTACCACTCTAGGGAAATTCACCCTCAAACTGGGGAAATTGATCCCCAAAATGGGTAAATTCATCCCAAACTGGGTAAATTTAGCCCGAAACCAGGGAAATTCATGCCCAAATTGGGAAATTTCACCCCCAAACCAGGGAAATTCACCCTAGAACCGAGCAAATTCATCCCTAAACTGGGAAAATTAATGGAGAAACTGGGTAATTTCACCCCTAAACTGGGTAAATTCAACTGAAACCAGATAAATTTTCCCCTAAACCAGGGAAATTAACTCCCAACCATGGAAAATTCACCCCTAAACCAGGGAAATTCACCCTAGAACCGGGCAAATTCATTCCTAAATTGGGTAAATTAATGCACAAACTGGGTAAATTCAGCCCTAAAATGGGTAAATTCTCCTGAAACCGGGTAAATTTACCCCCAGACCAGGGATTTTCACCCCTAAATTGGGAAAGTTCACCCCCAAACCAGGGAAATTCACCCTAGAACCGGGCAAATTCATTCCTAAGTTGGGTAAATTAATGCACAAACTGGGTAAATTCACCCATAATTTGGGTAAATTCACCTGAAACCGGGTAAATTTACCCCCAGTCCAGGGAAATTCACTCTAGAACTGGGCAAATTCATCCCTAAACTGGGAAAATTAATGCACAAACTGGGTAATTTCACCCCTAAACTGGGTAAATTCAACTGAAAACGGGTAAATTTACCCCCAAACCATGGAAATTCACCCTCAAATTGGGAAAATTTACCCCCAAACCAGGGAAATTCACCCTAGAACCGAGAAAATTCACCCCTAAACTGGGTAAATTGACCTGAAACAGGGTAAATTTACCCCTACACCAGGGAAATTTACCCCAACCATGGAAAATTCACCCCAAAACGATCTCGGGAGCCTCCCGGGAAGGGGTCCCACATTGGGGGGGGGGACACCCAGGGCCGGACGGACGGATGGACGGGCGCGGGGCGTTTTTAAAAAAAAAAAAGAGATGCGTTTATTCCATGATCGGTACAGACCAGATGCATATTCACTGTAGGAAATAAAACCATCGAGTTACTCCAGAGCTCGCCCAATACTGACGCGCCAGGATTGTACTGTATAGTGGGTATTTATGGCACATAACGTCGAACAGTTCCAAGAATAAAATTAAATCGAAGAACGCGCGCCGCCGCCCGCGGAGGTGGGGGGGAAGCCCCCCAATGCCCGCGGTGGCAGTCGGTATAAAAACCTTTTTTTTTTTTTTTTTCTCAACTTTTTCCTTTTTCTTCTTTTTTTTTTTTCCAACGCGTTTTTTATTTTTTTGTTCGTTTTAAACATCTTTTTTTTTTTTTTTTTTAAATGACGCTTTTAAAAAAAAAAAATAATAATAACAAACCAAAAAACCAAAAAACCGCGGCTTTCTGGTTCTTACAGTTAAAAATATAGACTAAAAGTTTGAAACTGAGCAAAATAGAAGCAGTGTGTTCTTTACACCGAATTTGGTGGGGCTCACCAAAAAACCTCAAACAAATATATGCCAACTATATTCACTATACAATACAGCCACAAACACTAGTGGCAGGGTGGTGACGTCCCCCCGCTGCCGCTGTTTTTTTGTATTTTTTTTTTGTTTTTTTTTTTTTTTCCCCGCTCCACCCCGCGATGCAGAGGGACGAATGACACCCGGTGAAGAGTTTGAGCAGTGCCGAATTTTCTGGAGGAAGGAAAAATTAAAAAGGGGGGTGGCGGCGGTGGTGGTGGTGGTGGTGGCAGATTTGGGGGGGGGTTTAGGAGGGGAAATAAACGAACGAAAAGACTGAAAGAATCTGACTTTGGTTGGTAGTCTAGCTCCGGTTCCCGGAGCGCCGCACGCGCGCGCTCGCCGCGGTTCCCTTTTATCGCGTGGAGGGGGAGGACGGCGGCACCGGGAGCGCCGGCTCACGAAGGAGGAGGGGGGAGAAAGAGAGAGAGAGAACCCCCCCCCCCGCCCCCCTGTACCCCCTCAACCCCGGCACTGCTCGCTCGTGGACGTTCGGCAAGTCGAGGAGGACCCTGGCGTCTAGAAAAAGGGGTGAGGAAGATGAAGTCCTGGGATATACGGCGAATACGTTTGGCATAGAGGACGTCGAGCGACGGATGTCGCACGCCCCCCCCAACAACAGGCTTCGCGCAGAGACGGGGGGGCGGTGGTCTTCGTCGATTTTTTCGGGGAGGGGGGGGCGGATGGCGGGCTGTAAGGCAGACCCTGCTGATCCTCCGGAGGCCGCGTTGAAAGAGCCGCGACGGGCGAGCATGCAGGGGGGCCGCGGGCGCGCGCGCTCCCCTCCCAGCCGCCGGTAACACTATGGAGAGTTCAAAGGTTTTTTGTTGTTGGTTTTTGTTGTTTTTTTTTTTGCCGGGGGGGGTGGGGGTGGTTGGTGTTTCGAAAGAGTCAGGAGGAGGAAAACGAGGCGCTGTTAGAAAAGGTTCTCTTCGAATATTGCCAACAAGTCGCTCTGGAAATTCATGTCGATCGTAGCTGCCATCTGCGGGGAGAGGAGGAAGGGGGCGTCAAGGGGGCGCCGAGGACGTCATGGTGGCATTGGGGGCATCAAGGTGGCACCAAGGGAGTCAAAGTGGCATTGGGGTGGCATTGGGGGCATCAAGGTGGAATTGGGGGCATCAAGGTGGCATTGGGGGCATTGGGGTGGCACTGGGGGCATCAAGGACATCATGGTGGCATTAGGGGCATCAGGGTGGCACAGGGGGCATCTAAGTGGCACCAGGGACATCAAGGTTGCACCAAGAGAGTCAAGGTGGCATTGGGGACGTCAAAGTGGCACCAAGGACGTTAAGGTAGCACTTGGGGCATCAAGGTGGCACCAAGTACATCAAGGTGGCATGGGGGGCATCCAGGTGGCATTAGGGGAATCAAGGTGGCATTAGGGGAATCAAGGTGGCACCAAGAGTGTCCAGGTGGCATTAGGGGCATCAAGGTGGCACAGGGGGCATCTGAGTGGCACCAGGGACATCAAGGTTGCACCAAGAGAGTCAAGGTGGCATTGGGGACGTCAAAGTGGCACCAAGGACGTTAAGGTAGCACTTGAGGGCATCAAGGTGGCAGTAGGGGAATCAAGGTGGCATGGGGGCATCAAGGTGGCACCAAGAGCGTCCAGGTGGCATTAGGGGCATCAAGGTGGCACCAAGAGTTTCAAGGTGGCACCAGGGGGCATCAAGTGGCACCAAGAGGGTCAAGCTGGCACCAAAAGCATCAAGGTGGTGTTTGGAGGCATCAAGGTGGCACTGGGGGTGTCAAGGTGGTACTGGGAGGTGTCAAGGTGGCACTAGGGACATCAAAGTGGCACCAGGGGTGTCAGCGTGGCACTGGGGACATCAAGGCTGCACCACGGTGGCATTGGGTACATGGAGGTGGCACCTGGGGCAGCGAGGTGACACCGGGGAGGGGTCTCCACGTCCCCGCGGCCGCACTCACCGCCTCCCTGCGCCTCCGCTCCTGCTCCCGCTTCCGAGCCATCTCCCTCTGCTGATCCAGCATGGACTGCGAGGACTGCGGCTGCGAGCTCTGGCCTTGGGGCGCGGAGGCTGTGGCCGGTGGCACCTGCTGCTGCTGCTGCTGCTGTTGTTGCTGCTGCTGCTGTTGCTGCTGCTGCTGCTGTTGTTGCTGCTGCTGTTGCTGCTGCTGCTCCTGGCGCCGCCGCACCTCCTCGTGCACCCTGCGAGCCTGCTCCATGGCGTCCTCGTCGTCGCGGCTCCTGAAACGCCGGAGCGGCACCCGTGAGACCCCCAAACTGCGCCCTGAGCACCCCCCTTTTGCTGTCTGGGTGTGGAATTCAGTCCTCTCTACCCCCCAACCCCAATCTGAATCTGGCAGCCGGGCGCCGCGCCAGCCTCGAGGAACCCCTCGGCCCCAAAAACGCCGACAGGGCACCGGCAGAGCCGCCCTCACCTCATCCGCTCCTGCTCCCGCCGCAGCCGCTCCTTCTCCCTTTCCACCTGTTCTGCCTGAGCTTTCAGCGCCTTCTCCCGCTCCTCCTTCTCCCGCGCTGCCCT